CGTGGTCCGTATCCCAGCGTCTTGACCGCGCGCTCGACCACTGGTCGCGCCGCCCGGCGGCTGTCCTCGTCGTCCGAATTCCACTCCTGTTTCTGCACCGGCTGCGCCTCTTGCAGCCCCGAGACCACCACCTCGGGCGGCGCTGGGTGCAGATGCGGGACCAACATCGGATACAAAATAACGAGTGCTTGTTGTCGCGGCGCCGCCGATCGTTCAGATCGGAAGGGCCTAGGTCGGGTTGCGGGGCCGCAAAGTAGCACCACTGAGGCAGGGAGATGATGAGGATGGCAGGATGGCTGTGGAGGGGACTACGGGTAAGCGAGGCGCACTCATACTACATGTAGTCCTTCTTCACGCCAGTGTGGTGGTCCAGGCTCTGGGAAGAGCTCATGCGAAAGGGCGACCTACGGCTGCTCACTGCGATCCTGCCAGAGGAGGACGCGCACACATCATCAAGGAAGGTCACAACTGGCGAGGGGCATCTGAGCCCGCCTGTGGGTATAACCCTCCGTGCTGCTGCGGGATGGGCTGCGGCCCCCTCCACCCATCAAGAGGGCCCAACAGAAAGGCCAGGAGGGCTCTAGGCGCCAGGGCGAGGGACGAGAGGAACGTCAACTTTACTCGTCAGGTGTAAAGCTCAACAGCTTGCGGAATCTTCTGGGCAAAAACGATATGTGAGAGAGGCACAAACACGCTGGCACATCGTTGTCGGAAGCATGGGAGCAGTTTGAATGTTGAGTATATTTGGAGGGGAAGGGGCAACGGGTTCACGGGCCAAGCGCAATAATCGACATAGACCGTGAGTTTCATGCATGAGCGCTGTCATATGCCAGCGCCAGAAGCGCTGAAGGCTGTATCGGGCGAAAAAGAAAGAGGGGATGGGAGAGGAGGTGACGGGAGAGGAGGGGAGGAGGGAAGTTACGAAAAGAGGTGTGGGAGAAAGAGGGACTCGAATGGAACAAAGGGATGGCGCGCAGGGGTGAGGGAGGCGAAGGTGGACATCCCGTATCGTCCAACCAAGCATGCGAGTGGGTAGCGACAGGAACGGACGTGTATCATACGAGCAAATCACCATTCAGTCTGGTCCCGCATGCTACTCCTCCTTCCCCTTCGCAGCAGCAGCATCATCATCATCATCATCATCATCATCATCATCATCATCATCATCATCATCATCATCATCATCATAATCGCCATCATCATCAGCATCGTCATCGTTATCGTCATCATCACCATGATGGTGGTGTCATGTTGCAGCCCGCCCAGGATTTAACTGGCAGGAGGCGCGAAGTGCTACAACATATAGCTGGCTGTCTCGGCTTGTTATGTGCATGCTCTCGGCTTGCAGCCGCCGAGGCTCGTGGCCTTGGCGGGGAACGGTGGGGGTCCGCGAGAAACTTGACAAGTGTCGGAACACAAACGGTTGTGGAGCGAACGAGGGGCACGCGGGAGGCACGCGCACAGCTCGCGGGAGCCCCCGGACCAGGCCTTCGGGGCTCCACAAGCCAGGCCACAGAACCCACATGTTTCGAGGGCCAGGGAAGCACAGGCGCCCAGGGCCCCACAAAAACGCCAGCACGCACCCACTCGTTCCTAGAGGCTCCTAGGCACTTTCGGGAAACTCACGAGCCCACCCCAACGATGCACTTCCACATCAGCCCTCATTCTTAAACTCATTAACCCATGATGGTGGTGCCATGTTGTTGCAGCCAACCCAGGATTTTAACGCATCAGGAGGCGAGAAGTGCTGCAATACATAACTTGCTGTCTCAGCTTATGTTGTGCATGCTCTCGGCCTGCAGCCGCCGAGGCTCTTCCCGCCCCCGCTCGCGCGCCTTCTGAAGGAAATGCAAGTTGACTCTGTGCCCTGCGCTTGCAAAGTGAAAACCGCGCATGGCCCGCGCGAGAAGATATACTGACACACTTGACAGTCGGAGCAGACTCCCAAGCCCACCCTCGCTGCGCGCCCTCCAAACATTCCAGTGGCACGTCACTGGCCACGCACGACCACTTGCAACGCGCTCTTGACTACAAGATAAAGCACGCGCGCACATCCGCGGCCAAGGTCCACCAAAACACCTGGGAGCCTTGCTACCGTCAGCTCCTTGTCTGACATGGATGCGCACTTGATCGCCGGCAAGGGGCGGCGGCTCAACGTGTGGTTGAGCTGCTGTAGAGTGGCCTCTCTCTGCCCGCGCGCCGAGGCCGAGGTCGCCCCATGCCGGTTTGCCCCATCTGGCCTCGACGGACGCCCGGCGGTCAACCGCGCGGAGGCCGAATAACCCTGATGCGACAAGGGCGCACTTCACATGAAGCATTCGATCCTGCCCTGGCCAGCGCAGCTCCTGCCAGGACTCCTGCGCGTCCGGAGTCGACGTCGACGCGTCCTCCAGGGCGCGTTCGGCAGCGGCCGCTCCAGGGGCCGGCGTGGCAACGTTGAGGAAGTCCGTCCGGATCCACTTGAGCAGCGCGTCGGGGTCCTCTGCTATGCGCTCCGCATGGCGTCGATGTGCCGCAAGGTTGACGAGGTCGACCCCGCGCAAGGCCTCGCCGAGCAGGCTCGCGGACTTCTTCGAGGACTGCATCGCGAAGGTCCGACGCGCCCTGGGCCGCGGTCGCCGCCGGCGCCAGCCCTCCATCCACGACGTGGCCCGCGGAGGCCGCCATCTTCGCCGCCGCGCCCAGGGCGGGCATGAACTTTCCAGCCGCCCAGGGACAGGCGCCCAGGACAGCGAAAAAGTTAATTTTATACCGTTCTTCGCTCGCTGAACGTGACCCCGTCGGCTGGGGCCCCCCCAGACCCAGCGGGCCGCCTCCAGGCCCGCGCGCAGCAGCGCCGCTCCCGCCCGCCGCCCTCGCCTCGGCCGCCCGCGGGGCCAGCCCCGGCGCGCCCGCGCCCGCGGCTGCGAGCCCAGCGGCCCGCGGGTGGCAGGAGCCCAGCTGCCGCTGCCGCCGGCCGCGGCGGTGGCAGGTCGAGGGGAGATCGTCCACCGCCTTCCCCAGGCCGAGCGCCCGGGGTGGCCTCTGCGGAGCTGCTGGCGACGCCACGCGTCGTCCCCGTGCAAGGGAAGCGGGGGCTGGCCCCCCTGCGGCGGGGGGAACGCACCTTCCGCCGACTTCCTGTAGCCTGCTGGCGGCACGCTGGCCGTCCTCGGTCTCGCCGGAAATGCCCTCGGGGAAGTAGAGGGCCAGCTGCTGCCCCGCCTCTCTGACCAGGTGCGCGATGCCCTGCTTCTCCGCCTGGTCCAGGCCTCTCGAAGCGGTGACAACGTCCACGTAGATTATGAGACTGGACTCCGTGAGCCAGCGCCCCTCCTCCTTGATCTCCTCGAACGGGACGCCACGTGCCGCGGAATCGCTGGCGAAACCCACGCGTGCCGAGTGCGGCGCCCAGTAGATGTCCAGGTATAAGATCTCCTCAACTTGCTTGAGACTGTGCCTATAGTCGACGAACGAGCACGGGAAGAGGAGGGCCTCTGGAGGTGTCCTCCATATGCCCCTGCGCAAAGGGTTCTCAAGGATCCCGTCTCGTTCCAGTAGCATTGCGCACTGCATTCTCTGATCTTTTGCCCCCGCCTTCGCCCCCAAGTTTATGACCCAGTTCGGCTGTTGGTCTGGCCCTCCTCTCGATGATGGTAGTGATACGTAGTTTGCTCTGAGCTGTAACATCTCCGATGGGCGCAATCCTCGGTCCACCCGGGGCAGCAGTCCTACTGCCAGGCGCGGCGCACCCAGGCAGGCAAAATCCTTCGCCGCCAGGTTCGCCGGCGCCCGCCCTAGGGGCGGCGCATGCTTCACCTCTGCAGCGACACTCCATGCATCGATAATTGAACGGATCGGGGTCAAATTCCTCCTCAAACGTGGGAAGACAAACTCCACGGCGGCCAATGCGCACACGAAGTTGCACTTGGTGAGCTTCTCGTCGTTCGTGTATTCGACCAGCAAGTCATCCCGCTGCTCGGGCTCGTCGGGGGCAAAAAGCCGCGTCTGTCCAGGTAGTTCACGAACTTCATCGCCGCCGCCCTGTAGGTGATCCAGGTGCGCGGCTTGATCTCTTCCAGAGACACATTGTCAAGCCTGCGCGGCCCCGACATGAGCCAGGTCGCGCAGGTCAGCGATGTTCAGGCATCTCGGTATCTGGTCAACAGGTTGCCTGGTAGTCTCCACCCCTAGAATCACATGTTTGGTGTGTGGTGCCAGCGCTGCCGCTGTCTTCTGTCGTAGCAGATGATTGAGATGGCGAGCTGGAGACCTGCCTTTGTTCGCCGCTCCCGACACTCCCTGGTTGTCTTCCAGCACGGGCAGCACTGCGCGATGTAGCTCCAGCGTGGCCGCCGCCACCCTGCTGATCTTCACCACGCAGCGGCACTCCCCCATGGCGATGTGGTCGGTGGCTAGCCAACGCCCTTATCCCACCACCGTCCACTTGTCATCGGGCTTGGAGACCTGGTCTGGCAAGAGACTGAAGAGCCTCGCACTGCGGACCACCTGCTCTGGCCGCCGTAGTCTGGACAGCTCTCCGCCCAGACGTGCCACCGCGCACCCCGGGCCCCCCCCCGCGTCGATGAAGTCTCTGGCGATGTCCTTGCTCATGTCGGCCGCCAGGATCCCCCAGCCGCCGTGGCCCAGGTCGCCGTCGCCCATCGCGTCCGCCGCGAAGTGCACCGGGGCGGGCTTGGCCCCTCGGCCGGCGAACATCAGGGGCGCAACCTTCGCCGTGGCCCCCAGCTCCCTTCGCGCCGACATCCAGGGCCCCGCTCTCTGCTGAGGGTAGCGCCCCAGTTGCCTGAACACAGCGCTGGGAATGCACAACACTCTCCTCAAGAGGACCCCCCAGATCCACGCGCCAAGCAGCGACCTGACATCCTCCATTAACACCATCTTTCCTGTCGCCATCGCCTCCAGCTGCGTCGCCAGCTCTCGTGCTCGAGTGGGAGGGGGCCGCAGCTGGGCGGGGGCCCTCTGCGGGGAGTAGCCCAGCATCTTCTGCGCCACGCGGCCTCGGTGCGATCCGTCGCCCCGAACCCTGCCTCGGCGGGCGCGTCCGCCAGCGCGCGCATCGCGGCCGTGGCCATGCTGTCACCCAACGGCCCCCCGGCCATCACCGCCCCGTCTTCGACGTGCAGATAGAAGGCCATCTGCGGGCCGTGCAGCCCCAGACCACGACCTCTGAGCACGTCCTCGATCCTGAGCGCCGCCGCTAGCCTAGTGGCACTGCGCTCGCCCCGCGCCGTCGCCGCCCTGTCCGCTTCGGTCGGCCTTCGCCACCCCGCGCCCCCTATGCCTTTCTCGCTGAAATGCCTCAGCGACGCCAGCGCCAGTCCGTCCAGCTCCTCGCGCATCTCCGCCGGGCACTGGGCCAGGGGGCCGGCGCGGAAGGCGCCGTCCTCCAGCTTGCCCTCGGAGGACTCGCGGGCATGAGCCCCGTCGCAACGCAATCCGTTCAACTGGTCGAGTCCGAGCTCCGTTCCGCGGCGGCAGGTGGGCTTCCTCGTCCGTCCGCACAGCGTGCACTGGTCTAGGCGTGCCCTGGTAGCCCCCCGTCATTGTTCGAACTCCTACACCTCCGTCGCATTCCAAATTCATGGGTAACGCGCGCGCCCTGGGTCTCCAAGGTGCGCCACGAGGAAAACGCCGCCGCGTCGGATGCGCGCCTCGCAAAGCGCCAACATGTCCAGCGCCGGCGCGTGGCCCTCTGCCACTCTGGCCGCCCCCGCGCCCGCAGGCCCGGCAGGCCCCGCGGGCAGAGCCTAGAGCGCGCTGGAAGTGGGCCTAGTCGTCGTCGGTTGTGGCGGGCCCGCAACCAGGTAGAGCATGGGGGGCCCCCGAGTGCCGCGTCGACCCAGCCCCCATCGCACAGCTCCATCAGCGACGAGAAGGTGGTGGCGTTGGCCAGGCCCCAGCGGGGGTCGCATGCCGCGTCCGACGAAAGCAAAGGGATCTGCCGGCCCCTCTCCTTGGCCCCCCTCAACAACACCGCTTCTACGTCGCTCCCCCGCCGGCGCCCCGCAAAGAGGTGCATCGCCACCAGCGCGCGCTCCACCTCTCTCTTCGCCTCCTTCGCCGTCGCGATCAACTCCTCTACTCCGAAGCCCCGCTCCCGCGGGGGGGTGGCCCTGCGCTTCGCCTGCAGGGCCGCCCAATCGTCGTCGCGTCGGTGCGCCTGCTCTGCCTCCTCGGTTCCGTCGGACTGGCGGGCTTCCTCCAGCGCCCCGTCCTCGGGCGGCGAGGTAGCCTCTCCGCTCGAGCCCTCCCCGAGCGCCGCGCGCCGCGCCCCCGCGCCCAGCGGCGCCCTGCCAATCGCCGCCGCGCTGGCAGACATAAGCAGGCGCACCGAGCGCCAGCCGCCCATGGCCAGGCGGCGGTAGCATGGGGCCGCCCAGCCTGCGAGCCCCAACTTGTCCTGGAGTCGCCTGCTCAGCTTCTCCCAGACCCAGCGCGCTCGGACGGGCGCGCGCGCCAGCCGCAGTGCCATCCAGGCTGGGACCCGCAGCCGCGTGAAGGCATTGTCCTCGTCGAAGGCCGCCACGCCCCACGCGCCCGTCGGCCTGCGCATCGGGGCCCACGCCGCCCCGCCTCTGACGCGGGGGTCGGCCCAGGCGTAGTTGCTCGCGCACATTATGAGGATCTCGCGCTGCTTCGCGACGTCCTACTTCGGCGCCGCGCTGAACCCGCAGTGGCCCCGCGCGTCCTCGGCCGCCTCGAAGGTTCACGTGTCCTTCGGGAGGTCGTCGCGCAATGGGCGCCTCGCGCAGGCGTCGGTCGACCCGCCCACGAACGCGAAGCGTGCCTCCAGCTCCTCGAAGATCGCGCCCGACTTCCCGCTGTAGCCCCACACGTTCTTCACCGCACTGTAGAAGGCCCGCTCGCCCTCAGGCAGCGCCTCCGGCAGGTCAGCCACGCGGTCGCCCTGAGGCGCGGCAATGGCGAGCGCGCCCAGGGCAACATGCATGCTGATTCCCCTTTCGCGCTCCTGCGTTGGCGTCCTGCGCTCCTCGCAATGCGTCGAGTGCCGTCGGTTGACCGCCTGTCGGAGCAGGCCCCTGGCAATCGCGCTCGCTCCCCGCAGCGCCCTGCAACGCGCGCTGCTGCGCGAGCCTCCAGGCCGACATATTCTGCTCGTCGTTCGTCTCTCGTCGGCCGGATGGTCTCGCCTCCAGGGGGCCGCAGCCCATCCCGTCGATGAGCTCGATGAGCCCGCGGGCCCGACGCCGCGCGCGCAGTCGTCGGGCAACCCTCGCGCGCTGTCTCCCCGACGAGGGTCGATGGCGAGAGGAAGCCGATCTGGCAGAGGCGCCGGGAAGATGGCCCTGGCACGGGCCCCCATCCACTGCAGGGCCCGCGCGCGCGAGCCAGGCTGCCCAGCTGCGGGCGCGACTGGCCCATCGGCCCGCAGCTCCCGCCCCTCTGCCTCTGCCGCCAGCTGCCTGGTCGACGCTGCCGCCGCTGCCCCCACTGGACCCTCCGCCTCGACCGTCTCCGCGACCGCCTCGCATCCCCGAGGCGGCCGCGCGCTCGCCCCGCTGGCGCTCGGCCGCGCCGTGCGCCGTGGCCTCCGCCACGAGCCGCGTCGGCGCCAAGTCAGCCGACGACCCTGGCGGTCGCGCGGCCAGCATGGCTGCCGCGCCCGCCCTGTCCTTCGCCCGCACCTCGTAGACGTGGCTGGTCAGCCATCGCAAGTGCAGCTCCAGCGCGTCGCCCGACGCCACGGGCGCGATCATTTCGGTCTGTGAGCGGCAGGCCCCCAGCAGGTAGTCCACATGCGTAGCCGCTGCCCACGGGTCGGTCCACGCTGCGGTGCGCCTCTGCCCGCGCACCTCCTGCGGCAGCCAGTCGCGAGCACTTGCCGCCCCTGTCCCTCGCACGGGTCGGTGGATCTCTGGGGCCGCGCGCTTCGGGTCGAGAGGCAAGCTCAGGTTCCACCTCGACTCCTCCCCTGCTGAGCGGCGGTGGGCGGCGCCCACGACCGCTGTGGCCCCCCAGCGAGCCCGCTGCCGTGGCTGGGCGTCGGGCAGGCCAGCGGGCCCTCCAGCTCCTGCGGCAGCGAGGTCCCTGGCAGGATCTTGGTGCCAGCCCCCGCGCAGTCGCGGCAGTGCAGCAAGCAGCGGAGGTCGAGATGCAAGCCCTGGGAGCAGTCCACCGCGTGGGCCCTCTCCCAGAAGTGCCAGGACCAGTGCGCGTCGGCGGGCGACCGCGACTGTAGCTCCGTCCGCGTAGCTCGCACCGCGTTAGCCTGCATGCCCAGCGCCACCGCGCCCC